GACATATCACATCACCTGCCGTGGGCTAGCTTCTCCTGGGGTGCTTGGTATTGTATTATTAAGATGAACCCGGGACCTTCATTTGAGACATTTGGTCAGCCTTGTTCGCTAGAATAGCGGTTAAGAGATCTGCAATCTTGACAGCAGACGTTTGGAAAGAAATGCACTGGAAAAACCACTTTTTCCTGGTATCAGGGCGTTGAGGGGAGTCTCTTCGGGATTCGGGGATTCGGTAGGGTGGACTCGTGGGGTGAGAAGACGGGTGTGAGGGGGAATCGTTGGTTTGGTGATGACTTCCAAGTGGAGTAGAACGAGTTTCTTAGGGAGACTTACGGTCGATAGTGAGTTGAGACGCTTGGGGGCGTCAAACAAATAGAGTACATGCACTTCCGTCGATGAGTTTGGAACGCATCTAACAACGAAAAGTTGAAACTAGCGCGGGTTCGCCAGTGGTGGAACAGAACCACTTATTAGTTGAATAGTGAAGAATGAAGGGTTGTTTTAGCCCAAAGTACTAGAAGTTATAGAAAGGAGATTTTGTCACCAAAGATTTGGTGTCTGGCTTAATGACGTCTCTTCACGATAAGGTGAGTGCCATCCAGAGCATCATTTTAGTGATGATTTCTTTGCAGTGCGGGACGAGTTCCCCAAAAAGACTTCCCATCGATAGTCCATCCGCTCCTCAGACAATAGGCCCTTGAGATTATGGTTATGGTGCCGAAGATGAGATGATGATACGACAAAGCATGTGGTTGAATTTACGCCGAGGCCGAGGCATCTCCGAACCATCACCGTCGCCAGCTCCAAGCTCAGGCGTCATCCAGCAACGAGTTCAAGTGCACCGACACTGCGACTATGGGGACTTCGAGCCTCGGACACCCACAAAATTACACCTAGAGCTGTACGAAATCTGCATGTCATGACCATAGCTCTAGATTAGCTGTACCCGCACCCGTACGCCCAACATGGCTTTCGACAACTCTACCGGCTATGCTGCCCCCAGTACCAGCAACCTCCAGGACCACGATGCGTCCCTCCCCATGTTCAACATCGAGCGAGTCGCGCTTCAGTTCTCCATTGCTTCAGACTTCGTAGCTGCCGAGGTTGCAAACAACGTTCTGATTCTGGCGTTGTCGACTGGGCGCATATTGCGGATAGATCTGGACAGTCCTGCCGACATTGATGGTCCGTATTTGGAAGACAGCATTCAGCCCGCGCTGCGTAGCATATGCTTACACATGTCTAGATATTGACCTCCCAAAGAAGCCCAGCGAGATCGGAATCATAAAGCGCCTCTTCCTGGACCCCTCCGCCTCGCACCTCATCGTGACCACGACCCTCGCCGAAAACTATTACCTCCATACTCAATCGCGAACCCCGAAAGCTTTATCACGGCTGAAAGGTGTTGTTATAGAGAGCATATCATGGAACCCGTCACAGCCAACGGCATCAACGCGGGAGATTCTTGTCGGGGCGTCTGATGGCAATGTCTACGAAGTGTATATCGAGCCGTCGTCCGAGTTCTACCGGCGCGAAGAAAGATACTTGAAAGGGGTGTACAAGACGAACGATGGACCGGTGATAGGCTTATCGACCGACATTATTCCTGGGAGGGCAGACTTACGGCGTGTCATAATTGCAACACCATCCTCGTTCCTGCACTTTGCGGGCAAAGTTGGACGGCACGGACATGAGGGAAGCGGGTCGATATTCTCAAGATTGTTCGAAAGCGAATCGGCAACTGTGCATGAGGTGTCTAACATCTCTGCCAACGCCCCGTCCCTGTTGACCGTCTCCCCTGAAACCGAGGACACTCAATCACTGGATCACACCAACTCAGAAAGGATATTCGGATGGCTGACCTCCCAAGGCGTGCTCCACGGGAAACTGTTTCTATCTCCCGACACTTCGGAGTTGGGTGGCAAGGTTTTGGCCGAGTCGAAAATGCTGCCTAGGTCCCACATACCATCACATAAAGCGAGTGGACGAGCAAGAAAATCACAGGATGCTGTCACATCGATGATTTTAAGTCAATGGCATGTTCTTCAGCTGGTCGAGGGAAGGATTGTGGCTATCAACCGGCTAGACGATACTGTTGTTTTTGATCAAGTAGTTCTCGAGCCAGGTCAGAGCGCTCTTGGGCTTGTTGCCGACATCAAGAAAAACACATATTGGCTTTTTACCACTCAGGAGATCTTCGAGATAGTTATTACGGACGAGAACAGAGATGTATGGAAGGTTATGTTGAAGGCTCAGCAGTTTGAATCAGCATCTCAGTATGCCAAGACATCGGCACAGAAAGACGTAGTAGCAACAGCTTCCGGTGACTACCTTGTTGGCAAAGGCCAATATCAGGAGGCCGCAGCAGTATACGGACGAAGTACTAAGCCTTTTGAGGAAGTAGCGCTCACTTTCATCGACAAGGGCGAACAAGATGCGCTGCGAAAATATCTATTCACCAAGCTATCGACACTTAAGAAAACATCTGTTATGCAGCGAACGATGGTGGCAACATGGCTTATCGAACTGTTCATGGCCAAATTGAACACCCTGGATGACACCATTACAACAAAAGCAGAACTCTCGGAAAGTATGAACACAGCTGAAACCCAGGACCAGCTCTCAGTGATAAGGAGGGAATACCAAGATTTTGTGACCAAGTACAAATCGGATCTAGATCGGAAGACGGTGTACGAAATTATCAGCAGTCATGGAAGGGAGGAGGAGCTCTTGTATTTTGCGACTGTTGTGAACGACTACAATTATGTTCTTGCATACTGGGTGCAAAGAGAGCGGTGGCAAGAGTCTCTGGACGTCCTCAAGAAACAGACCGACCCCGAGATTTTCTACAAGTACAGTAGTGTTCTCATGGCACATGTACCTGTGGATCTCGTCGAAATCATGATGAGGCAAGCCAACTTGGACGCCCAAAAGCTCATACCCGCTTTATTGAACTACAACAACATCACGAAAGCCCCGTTAAGCCAGAGTCAAGCCGTCCGATATCTTCTGTTCGAAATCAATCAGCACTCATCTACAGATGCTGCGATACACAACACGCTCATCTCCATTTATGCCTCGAATCCCACAGGTGACGAATCTGCCCTTCTGGCCTATCTGGAAGGCCAATCGTTGGCCCATGAGCAGAATTACGACGCCGATTTTGCGCTTCGTCTGTGTATACAGCACAAAAGAGTCCAAAGCTGTGTGCACATTTACAGCTCCATGAGGCAGTATGTGCAAGCGGTGGACTTGGCATTGAAATACGATGAGATTGAACTGGCTAGTAATGTTGCCGATCGTTCAGATACTAACCCAGCGCTCCGGAAGAAGCTGTGGCTCGCTGTAGCAAAGAAGGTGATCTCCCAATCGTCGGGTATCAAGACAGCAATCGAGTTCCTTCGTCGTGTCGACCTCTTAAGGATAGAGGATCTCATTCCCTTCTTCCCCGACTTTGTCGTCATCGACGACTTCAAAGAAGAGATCTGTACCGCACTAGAAGACTATTCGCGTAAAATTGACGAGTTGAAGAGGGAAATGGACGAGAGTGAAGAGACAGCCGCGCATATCAAGACTGACATCAAAGCACTGGATCAACGATACGCCATCGTCGAACCTGGTGAGCGATGCTACGTATGTGGCCTCCCTCTCCTCGCAAGGCAGTTCTTCGTATTCCCTTGCCAACACGCGTTTCACAGCGATTGTCTAGCAAAGAAGGTCGTTGAGCTCGCCGGCATCGCGAAGGGCAAGCGCATCGCCGAGTTGCAAATGGAGGTTAGCAAAGGGACTAGCACGGGCCCGAAGAGGGAGAAAGCGATCAGGGAGTTGGATGCTCTTGTGGGCTCATCTTGGTAAGTCTACCAGTTCCATGCAACAGTGCCAAATTGCTTCGGCATCCAGCATTAACGAGTCTGAACAGTATCCTTTGCAGCGAGCTAGCGGTCAAGCTGATTGATCAGCCTTTTATCACGGTATCGGACAATAAGGAGGAATGGGCGCTGTAATTCGGACTCGAGATACCTTGAATACAATTGCTTGTATATGCTTTTTGCACATGCTTATTTTATAGGTAAGATTCAGTGTCATACGATTTAGCAAGCTTCTCTTGTGGTCCTGGTTTGGTCCCAAAAAGGCTTTGTCCCGCAGCAATCCGCCTTAACCAACCCCTAGACTCTTGAGAACATGAGCGCGACTCTATACTGCGAATGTGCGCGAATGGTTGCAACCGTTGGCTTAACATGTATTCAAATTAACAATACATCGAGTTAAATGCACACCGCTCGATTACACCAATTTGTTTTGTTCCCCGACGACGCCTGTCATCCGATGTACTGGTAAAGCTTTTCAAGTACCCTTTGGGCTATCTTAATTGAGTACAGGAAGACGAGTCGAGGGTTGTATGTGCGTTCAGTGAGGTAGTACGGGGGAAGACGGAGCAGAGTGACGGATTGGTGAGAAGGAAGACGAAGGGATCGTACTAGGGGTCATATGGAGATGGGTCGAATTGGAAGGGTGCGGACGATGACGATTTCGGACGGGGTAAGTGCTGGAGGCGTGAGGCGTGAGGCGGTGCTGGGGGCGACATGGATGGGTTCGCTAGGGCTATGAAATACTTTGTAGACCATCCCGTGCACGTCGCTCAACACATGTATAATGAATACATCTCCAGCAATGAGTTAATCCTTCTCTCCGTTTTTGTCATCAGTTATAAAGGAAATTAATGCCTCCTGCCCTAAAGTTTCCGGCGAATCGGAATTGCTTAATGTTCCTGATTCCTTTTGTTTTGATGTTGCTTGTATATGCCATTTATTTTGCTTCTCCCCAGTCCCATCATCTATCAGTGTTCGCGATGCATCATCTTCCATGTTCTTTCTGGGCGTGCAGGGTTCACGCACAAGCCTCGTAGCTGAGTTCTGGTGCCAAAAAAATGTCAGTGCCACAAGAGCGAGAAAGTGGAGAATCAATTCATTAATTAATGAAAAAAGAAATGCAAAAAGAAATGGACTTGCTGGGAATCGAACCCAGGACCTTTCCCAATTGAAAGACTAACTAAGTTAGACGCAATGCTAAGGGAAAATTATACCACTAAACCACAAGCCCGATTGAATTGAAAGTTCCACGAATCCAATAGTATATATACAAGTAAACGTTCTGTGAATCCTGCCTGAGCAGCGGACAGTGCTGTCGCATATCAACAGTGTATAGGAACATAACTTTGACGTCTTCGGGCGATGTTGAAAACCAAGAGTGGGGTTGTGGGGCTCCTAGCGTCGTTCGGTCATTCATGACACGTACAGTACACATCAGTGAGCTACGAAATTTAAATTTCTGACAGCTCAAAGTCGAACACCATTGCGTTGCATTTTAGTCTGGCTGTCTAGGATGATGTATCTACACATGTTCTAATTACCTTTCCTTGGGCATGAGAATTCGGAGTACAGTCGTCTAAGGATTCCACGGACTTGTCGCATAACCGCCACAAATATTCTCGGCCTCTCCATCTTCTCTTATGACTAGGATGTCCTCATGTCTCACACCAAATTCGTTTAACACATAGACTCCGGGCTCGCTAGTAAAGACCATTCCCGGCCTCAGGATGGCCTCGAAGTTTCCTTTATTCAAATACGGGCTCTCGTGAGCTTTGATGCCCAGGCTGTGGCCCAGTCTGTGCGTGAAAGCTTTGCCATATCCCGCCGTCTCGATGACACTGCGAGCTGCAATGTCGACTGCTGCAGCTGTTCCGTTGGGTACCATGGCCTTTACAGAAGCAGCTTGAGCATCTAGGACTAACTGCCAGACTGCCAGTTTCTCGGTGATATTGTACTCCGGTGGCGGGGGGTTTGGAAAGAAAGGTGGATAGAAGGTTCGGCAGACATCGCTGCTGTATCCATACAGATGAGACCCTACATCGATAAGAATGAAGTCACCAGGTTCTAGCTTTGCTTGACCATCATGACCCCCATGAGGCAGCGCAGCCTGCTTTCCAAATTCGACAATGTCGAAGAATGGATCCATGCCAGCAGCTCTCATGGTGTTGTCGAGCACCTCTACCACTTCGTTTTCCGTGACGCCATAGTAGAGACACTGGCGCATGGCCCGTATTGCTTCCACGGTGCCGGTATTGACCGCGCGCAAAATACCAATCTCGCGTTCAGTTTTCACCTGGCGCACCGCTTCAACCTCCCCTCCGAGGCCGACAATGGTAAATCCGTTGGATGCGAGTCCTAGAACAATAAATTCTCGTATCTCTTCGTCGACCATGAGAGTTGGAGACAACACTTCACCCCAAATTGGAGATTCCCATAAAGTAGTGTAGTAGTTCCAGTGCTCTTCGTAAGTCACTGTCGAGATTTCATCCGCAAAGGGCATATTCAGTAGCCGGGCACGAACCTCCTCAAAGCGTGGCACGAGGAAGGAAGTATTTGCTATGATGAAACCATTTGGGAGCTTGACGGGTCGGATTACCATCAGGAAAGGTCGTTCCTCGGGCTGTAGCAAATCGTTAGCACAGAAGTGGTTTGGGGGCAAGGTTTAACATTCCTCCCACACCTCCCATTCTGGCTGTGTCACATTCGCATAGTAGCTGAATGTGTAACCAGGCTCGACGACGAATGCATCTACACCATCTGCTACAAGGGCTTTGGCAAGGTTGTTCCTTCGTATGACGTATTCATCGAGAGGAGGCCTCTCGGCGGTCTTTAGAAACTCAAGACCAGTTTCCAGATACTTGTCTATAGAACATTTCTGAAATTTTATCTTCTTGGAGGATAAGATGGTTGTGACATCCGTCAACGAAAGATGCTTCTGTATTGGGATCAGTTACTGAGCTTCTTTCAAAATTCAGGGTCGATTACCCATGCAAGAAACAAGGTGCCAATTGCGAGGCAAAGTAACATACGAATAATCCCCAACTGCTTATTTCGAGATGGGGTCCGAGTGAATGGTACAGGAAGCGACGAAGCCTTCATTGTCGAGTTTTGGTGTAGACTTGATTTTTCTGATGCTTTCCTAGTTTTTCCCTTATAATCAAGGACGTTCTGCAGAATTGTTAGGACGATGTTGATGGCGATGTCGATGGCAATGTCGATGGCAATGTCGATGGTAGTAGTCAAAACAAACGTGGGGCTGTCTGAGGCTTACCGGATGCAGCCTAGAGCTGCATGCAACAATTCCAAAACTGTTAATCTATTAATTATCTAGTTATCGCAGATCCCCATTCTTGGATTTTGTGCTTTGCCAGCCAATTAACGGCTTATCGATAGCAAGTATACCGTAGTGTTATCTGCAGGAAACTCTTAGGAGTTATCGGGCATGATAGAAAGTTGGCATCTCACCCGTTACGGTAATGGATATTTGGAGACTAATGTTCCCTTCTTCTGTCACCGTTCTCGCAATGGAGATTTCGCATGTCGCAAAAAAGGACAAGGATATGAATATCAATTCTGCGACTGCAACAGATGAGGAATATCAGGTTGATATCAAGGCCGCTCCCTTGGAAGATGTCGATGTGGAATATCTACGTTGAATCCCCGGTTATGTACCGTACCACACGAACTCAAGAGTGTCAGCAGTATATTCGCATCTCCATCACCCATTCAATTCTTTCCGTTTGTGTAATGCGCTCTGAGACGGCCTCTTAGTCTCTCGTATAGGTCACGTACCGATCACGGGTGGCCCGTGCTCGGGCTGAGAACACGACCTCCTGAGATACAGTACTTGTCCACCCACGCTCCAAGTTTTTATGGCGCAAAAACCAATTTGTCGTTGGTATGCATCACAATCGTGGCGCTTGCCTTTGAATTGCTCTCATTCGAGCTTGAAGTCTAACCTCATCCCTGTCTGCAAAAAGCGAGTCAAGGTCTAAATAAAGTTGTACAATTCTCATGTTAGCCTCTCAACCTCAAAAAAAGGTTACCAATTGCGTTCACAATATTTCTCGCTAGCTTTATGCAAGAACTGTACCATAGTACAGGCCAGACTCATAACTTTAATAGCTTAAGCATGCCATGGCTCATGGCTGGGATCTCGTTATCGTGATAGGATGGATCCCTGACCAGCGCCCAAGGCGAAGCGGGCAGTCAAGATACAAGTGGGCTGAGGGTTAGGAGTAAGAAATTCATAGGATTGTCGGGCATTTTCTTTGGAACAAAAAAGCACAAAAAAAGGCAGTGTATAAAACGTATCGCGCTCCCAGCACGCTGCACCCTAAAGAACGACGGAACCCGACGCCCTCCCCTCCGAACCAATTCTCGGTACACGATTCTAATACTCGATACAACATCTCTATTCTCAACGTAATTATTGTGACAAGTCTCCCTCATAGTGGGTTTAGACTAACATTGCTGATGGTGTCTACCCCACTCACCAAAGCAATGGCTTTCAATGCAGACAGCGTTACTCAGCACAAGGATGCTGGAAAGCATTCCGGAACTGCTGCCGAGCATCTGGCGAAGAAAGCCGGCCTCGGAGCATACGCGAAGAAGATGGGCGAATTTGTGAACAAGCTTGTTGGAAAGAAGCAAAAGACAATGGCCGATCAGAAGGCTGCAGGCACTGTCGCCCCAGCGCACCCGGTTGCGGTTGCTCCTGCTGCCACTTAGATGCACAAATAGGTACATATCCTTTGTCAGTTATTGTATAACTATGTGCTCATATAGTCATATAGTAGGCTTGACGGAAGGCGGTTCCTTGATAGTCCACAGGGATATGGAGTGATACTTTGGAGTATGTCTCTTTACGTAGAGACTTTTGGCGACTTGTGAAACAGAATACCCAGAACGTTCAGAAATAGAATTTGTCATCTGTTGTTGGATGTAAAGATATGTTCCCTCGCCCTCACTGATTTGTTTCTACATCGCGCACAGAAGATCATCTCTATAGATTGTTACTTGGACGTTTCCTTTTTCAACAACATCATCGCCCTGCCTCTTATGCATCATCCTAGGTGTAGTCTGGCATTTGATACCTTCGGTAGGTGTTGTATCTGCTCGCCTCGCCAATCCCAGAGGGTTCCCGACTCAGCTCCAATCCTGACGTGTTCTTGGCATATATCGATCGGGTCGTCTTCCTCAAACGGACATGGCACGTTATATGTGAAGATGGTGACTCTTTTCTGGGGATCCAATTTATCCCAATTGATGCGTGGAATTTGACTGAATCGAACCTGATCCTCTTCAACGTTGATGAGCAACACATTGAGGGCCCGATCCCCGTTCTTGAAGTACTCTTTCTTGATGTTGGACTCTCGGAGACTGTCGGCGCGTGTCAAAACGACGGTTTCCAGAGCCGGCATTTGTCCTACGCTACGCCAGAAGCCTGGGCTTGCATCCACGTTGTACAGAGCTAAGCGTCGAAGCTTAATCCACGACTTCCAGACCGGAGGCTCATTTCCATGGTGCGTAACGCTGAGGAACAACTCATCCCTCACACTTACGAGTTCTTCTAGGTTCTCTAGCTTCACAAATGCTTCACGGAGAACGGCTCGCACAGCCAGATGGTCAGTTTCTGGATATAGACTTCGTAATGGAACGTCGATTATGAGTCTTTTGAGAGAGTTACATGTGAAACTGAATAGTTCTCGCACCCACATAGCCGTCGAAAGATCGTCTATTGTGTGACCATCGAATGGAGCCAGGAAGAGAGATTCAATGTTGCGGAGTTCGGGCCGGTTAGGTATCTCGAGGAGGAAAGCACGCAGTCGACGTTCGGAGGACAAGTACATGCAGTACTGGCGGAGATAGCGATTTGCAATTCTGCGAGTCTCATGACAAACGAGCGTGAAGGAGAGAAGAGTTTGGGTGATGGGGTGTGATGGCGCAAGAATAACGTTCGGATATTTTGGTAAAGAATTCGTTATGACATTGAGAACCAGTTCTAGTGGCAATGGCATTGATACCTCCATTGTACCGATCTCCAGGTGTCAAGTTGAAGGTTGGTGTCCATGCCCCATGTCGTTGTCCCGAGGTTGTGATTAACATCAGGATGACTCGATGATGAAACGCGGAAACCATACCGCGTTCATGAAAAGAAATCCACTAGGCCGCATTTGAAACGTGACCGAAACCCTCGTAGAATTCTAACATCACCCCGCCACCCCCACT